ATGGCCCCCAAAGTTCCATTAAACCTCTCCACCAGGCCATTGGTTTCATGATGGTAAGGGGTGGTGTGACGAACTGGGACTGTTCTCACTGTGGTCTGTGAATGCTGACAGGGGAGTGTGGCTAGGATAGTCTGCATTGGAGGATGGGAGACAGCCCGAGGGCGCATACCTGAGTGTGTAACATGAGAACCCAGGAAGGGGTTGAAGGCCAGGTGACTCCTTAACCCGGGAAACTGAACAAAGGCTGTGGGAGGGGTCGCTGAAGGCAGAGTGTTGGAAGCGGGCTGGAGAGATGGCTGGGAGGCAGAGATGGCTCTGACCTCCCAAGGGGGGCTGGGCTGGGATGCCCGGGGACCCCAAGATGGACCTAACTGAGGGGGTCCCTGTTGTCTGTGCCTGCAAGACCTGTCTTGGACTGTATTCCTGTCATCCAAATAAACCTTCTGCTTTACTGGCTGGCTGAGAGTCGCAGTGAATCGTAGGAAGCCGGGGGTGCAGGGCCCTGAGTTCCCCAATACTCCGTGACAGGTGTTCTTAGCAGCCGCTCCGTGCACGGGCAGAGCCCAGCGGTGCGGCATGCCCGGCAGCCTCTTCCTCGGGCACGGCCTTTCCAGACACCTGCCCTGTTCATTAGTCTCTGTCGTGGCCGGTTCTCTCCCCCGTAGGGCAGCAGCTCCGAGGCAGAGGGGTAAGAGGACTGTGGAGGAGGGAGTGGGGCCAGGCACCCTTGTCCCAAAACCTGAGCGTGGCTCCCTTTGTCTTTCCAAGGATCACCGTGGTCACGTGGAACGTTGGCACAGCCATACCCCCGAGCGACGTGACATCCCTGCTGCACCTCAACACGGGCGACACAAACGACACCGACATGATTGCCATTGGGTAAGCAGTGCCTGGGCCGAGAGCTCCTCCTCGCCCCACTGTGGGGGTTGAAGGAGGCTGTCCTGCAGTAGGTGGGCCCCAGAGAGGCTAGCAGGGCACCGAAAGGAATTGTCCACTAGCCCAAGCAATGGGGCCTCTTTAGAAGCAGACAGATCCAGGTTCTGGTCCCAGCTCCCCAAGTGTGCATGCTGTTCCTGCAAGGAAGATGATTCAGAATAAAACACACAATAAAAATCTAACAGTAAAAGTCACCCAAGCACTCTTTAACCCCCTGAAATCCGCCCTCCTTGCTCCCCCGATCCCTGTGTGCCTAGCCCGTACAAATGCCCCTGCACCTCTCGGTATTGGGCCGTGGACAGTTCAGCGTCCCCTCCAAAGTCTCTCAGGAGCGTCTCCCTCTGCAATCAGCCCTTGGCCGTAGTAAGCAGCCCTCAAGGGCATGAATCCATTGTTCTGTTCAAGCTGGATTGGAGCCAGCCCCTGGTAACACTTAATGCAGTTCTTAGCTATCGACCAGGCAGCTCCCAATACAACGCATGGAGACTTTGTTGGCACGACAAGCCGGACGAGCGTTGCCAAAGTGCAAGAAAAAGACAGGCCCTTTGGGTACTATTGTAGTGGCTTACGTTAGCACCTAGGAACCCGAACTGAGATCAGGGCTCCATTGTTCAGAGACCGGCCCTCTCCCAGAGACCTTCCCGGCCAAATGAGGCTGCTTGTGGGCTTGGTCTCTCTCCTGCTGGACTCCCCCATCCAGGCTGGGGGTCACACATGCCCTGGGAGGTTCAATCCCCCGTGCCCATCTGTGATCACTGTCCATTCCTAGGGCTCTCCGGGTGCTGTGACACCTCTGGCCCACTTACCTGTGCCCCAGGGCCTGGCACTTTTTTAATCCCTGTCTGCTTTTCGATGAGATGTCTTCAACCAGCAGCTTCCCTAGGGAGGGTGTGAAATCCCCATCACTGGAGGTTTAAGAACAGGCTGGACAAACGCCTGTCAGAGCTGGTCTAGGTTGACTTGGTCCTGCCGCAGCACAGGGGCTGGAGTAACTGACCTCCCGAGGTCCCTTCCAGCCCCACGTGTCTATGAGGCAGCGTCTCCCACCATTTGCTTTGGTTAACAGCTGCCCGGGCCGAGCTGGGGCAGGCTGTTAATCCTGCAAAGCCGCTGCTGGTGCAAACCTGGGCAGAACTACAGTGACTTGGAGGTGGCTGGGCCCCCCAAGCCCCAGACTGTTTAGTAACGCAGCAGCTGCATACGATGTGCACCAAGTGGCATTGCACATGCTTCTTGCATCTATTGAAGGCACCGAATTCCCTTAGGGTGCAGTTCAGGCCTGGGCTGAGAGCCTGCGAGAGGCCTACCCCATAAGCGGCCGTCTGTGACCCCGAGGCCTTTCCCAGGCTCTCGGCACAGGATGGAATTGCACCTTCCGAGAGCACCCACTGCCCCGCATCTCTCCACGCACTGCTTGTCTCTTCCCGTCTCAGATCCCTGCAGCCAAAGCAGAGCGCCCAAATCTCCTTGAACATCCGTGGGATTTGGGTGCCTGACTCTCCTTGGCTCTTCTTGCCAGTCCCAGCCTTCCTCACTCCCCTTTGCCAGTGCAGCCTGTGTAATCGCCTCGGCCCAACCCAAAGGGAGGCTGGTGCTTCCTCTTGATGGGGGATGCTGGCATTGTGGCCAGTTAAAGTCTGGCTTGGCAGTGGTGGTGGAATAGCCAGGGCCGTGCCACGGACTAGACATCATTGGCTAAGTATCTCTGGAGACCCCTCCCAGGGATCAGAGAGGCGGGTGTGCCACTTCGCAGATGGACTGTGCTGTCAGTCACACTTGGTAGGAAGGGGCCCTTTATAAAGGGTCAACCTGTTTTAGGTTTTTTTCCTGCTGCCCGTCACCATAGCATCTGGGTGCCTTCTACATGAAATCAATAGCGATAGCCAAGCCACTAATGGAGTTCATGGAGTCTCTGGCATTTCTCCCTTTTCCGGGGTCAAAACTCTGGGACGATTCTTGGGTTTGACTTTCTGTTTCAGATTTTTTTTCCCTAGCATTTAAGGCCAGACGGGGCCATTAGATCATCTACTCTGACCTCCTGTATACCACAGGCCACTGAGTGTCACCAGTTACCCCTGTCCTGAGCCCCAACTTGTGATTGACTAAAGCCTCTTCCAGAAAGGCATCAGCCAGCCTGGATTGGAAGACATCAAGAGATGGAGAATTCAGCGCTGCCCTTGGCAGTCTGTCCCAGTGGTGAACCACCCTGGCCGATAACATTCACTGTAGGAGTTCCCCTGTGGGATTCGTTGGGAGGATTAGGGGAGCCAGTGTTGGGGTGCAGGGGAGACAGAGTTGCCCCAGTCTCCTAGCAGAAAGGCTTTTCCAAAGAGGAAGGTTTTATGGCATTTCCTGTAGATGCTTGGACTCTGGTCTCCTCTGGAAGGTTGTTCCTAGCACCTCGTTGGAGAACACTTGGTCTCCTGCACTTTGGGTGGAGCGTGTCAACGACCGATGTTTTAATAAATGTTTAACTGATCGTTGGAGACCAGCAGGTCAATTGGTTGCTTATGAGCGTCTATAGCCTCTTCTACTGACGGACTTATAAGCAGCTGAGGCCAATATTTCTTTATAACGTCTGTCAGTCACCCCTGAGCCTCTCGCCCGTTTCAGAGCGGCACCGTCACACCAGCTGTGACTGGATGTCTGTGTCAGGCCGAGTCTTTGAAAAGTCGTCGTTAGCCTGATTCTTCCCTTGCGGGAAATGAGGCCGGGGTTCCCAGGCGTGCAGCATGTCAGGGCCGCAGCCCGTCTGAGGCTCTTAGAGTCCCTGGCAGGAGGGTGGAGCTCAAGGCTGGGTGTTAGGGCTCCCTGGTCTCCTTGGACAGGCTCCCCCAAACCAGAGCCGTGCCCTCGGGTTAGTGCCCGGCTGGCAATACGTTGGGAATCGCACAGACTCTTGGGACGTCTCCAAGGGCAGCGTTCGTTACTGTGGGAGGCAACAGCCTGTCAGTTGCTGCATGTAGCTTTGTGTGACTACGGGCACAGCACCTCCGCGGGGTCCCCAAGACCCCAGCCTGGCGGTTAAGCCCCACCCCGCTGGCTGTAGTGTTTGACTCGCCCTTAGCTGCCTGCTGGGCACAGCGCAGACGCCCCCTCCACTGCCAGCGGCAGGGACTCTCCCGGGGGGATTTCCGTCTCCCTGCTCCCTCCAGCACTGGGCCTCTGCCCCTGTCTGAGGGAGCTGCCCCTAGCTGGGATCCAGGCAGTCTCCTGGCAGGGAGCAGTGCCCGCTGGCTGGAGGGCTACTGGGGAGTCTGCCCAAGCCTGCCATCAGACCTGTCTGTCTGTCTCCCTTCCAGGCTGCAGGAGGTGAACTCCATGATCAACAAGCGCCTGAAGGACGCCCTCTTCACAGACCAGTGGAGTGAGCTCTTCATGGACGTGCTGAGTCCCTTCAACTTTGTATTGGTAGGGGGGGGTTGGGCTCGAAGGTCTGCTTGGTTTGGGCAGGAAGCTGATTAAATCAAACTGGGGACCCCACCCAGGAGTGCAGGCAGCCAGGGCCTCCCTACGCCTTTCCCCCCAAGTCTGGCAAGCTGACAGTTCCCCATCCTGGATATCAGGGTCTCCCTGGGGGGTGGGATTTGAAGGAGACTGCTCTAACCCCTAGACAATTCACAGGGATAGCAAGGCCCTGCCACCAGTTTATTGGGTTACTCTGGGCAAGGCACGTCCCTGCTCTCTGCCTCAGTTTCCCTCATTGCACCACGGAGAAGTGACACCCTGGCCCACCTTTGCAAGGTACTGAGAATCCGGGACATGAGGTGCTTCTTGTTCCATGGGTGTCCCCTCAGTGCCGTTTGGGGTACTTCTTTGAATTAAAGGGATGAGGTCAAAGAGTAGAGGGGAGCCGGTGGGGAGTCAGGAGTGGGGTGCGCAGGAGAACATACAAAGCTCATGACAGTGGTATCTGGGGGCAGGCACCGTCCATGGGCTTCTACCTGTGATCTTCACACTCCCGGCCCTCTTTGTGCATGTCCTCACAGCTGTCTCCATGGCAACTTGAGACTGGGAGGTCACAAGCACAGTTAAACTCTTCTGATGGGGGGGGCCCCAGCTGCTGGGGGGGCAGGGCTGTGTCTGGCTCCTCCCTGCCTGAGGGCTGGGGGTGTAACTCTACCTGGGCCCAGGAGTGGAGGGCAGGTCTTCCCCAGCAGAACAAGGTTGGGGCTGCTCTGCCATGGGGGCCTGAGCCCACCCCATCTCCAGTGGATCTACCCCATGGCCCGGAGCCCATGGAGCTGCCCTGTCTCGTCCCATGGCCCTGCGGCTCACAGTGTTCACCATCATGCCTGCCTGGCCAGCGCAGCATATCTCCGCGTCATGCTGGTCCCTCGCTGGCCCACGGCCCCCGTTCCTTGTGGGGCCAGCACAGCCCCCAGCACAGGGCGTGTGGAGCCCTTGGCTTTGACCAGCCGGCCGTGCTCTGGCCTATCCAAAGTCCTAAGGGCCCACCCCCATCCAGGGAGCTAAGCCCCGCTGGGCACTCTGGGATAGCGCCTGTTGCCAAGAGACTGCTCTGCAGGGTCCGTTCCTGGGGCAGTCGCATGCCGGCGTCAGCCTGGCTGCACACCGATTGCCTGGGAATGGACGCTGCGGAGCCGGGCGCCGGCCAGGTACCAAATACAGGACAGGGTGGGTGCTCCCCGTCACAGAAAGTTGCACGGACCTGTAGCCTGTGGGGTCTGCATGCTCAGGGTGGCTGCCATCTGCTCTGGCTGGCGCATAAACACCCCTCAGCGCTGTGCCAGCGCTGACCAGTCCTGCCAGCCCTGCCCCTGGGAAGGTGGGTCAGTGCCATCAGCCCTGTCTCGCAGATGGGGAGACTGAGGCAGGGGCAGGGACTGGCCAAAGGGCACCTGGGCAGAGCCGGGATTCTAGCTCAGGTGCTGGCGCAGCCCTGCACCTCAGCCCCACGTCCCCTGCCATGCAGGGGCAAAGCCCTCGGATAGCTGCCCCGCTTCACGCCCTTCTCTCCCTGTCGCAGGTGAGCACAGTGCGGATGCAGGGTGTGATCCTGCTGGTGTTTGCCAAGTACTATCACCTCCCCTTCCTGCAGGACATCCAGACGGACTGCACCAGGACCGGGCTGGGCGGCTACTGGGTGAGGAGGGTGCCGCGGCAGGGGTGGGGGAACGTAACTCCGGGGGGGGCTCCCCTCCCCCGATGACACAGCTTGGGTTCCTCTTGGAGCAGGGCAACAAGGGCGGGGTCAGCGTGCGGCTCTCCGTCTTCGGCCACATGGTCTGTTTCCTGAACTGCCACCTGCCGGCTCACCTGGAGAAGGCCGAGCAGCGCAAGGAGGATTTCACCACTATCCTCAACATGCAGCAGTTTGAGGGGCGCGCAGCCAGCGGCATCCTGGACCACGAGTATGTACCCCCCCACTCCTTCCACTTCCTGTCCCATCCCCCCCGCTCTGATTGGGGCTTGGAGCTGAGTCTGCGGCTCTACCCCTCTGAAACAGGCCGTGTCCCGCCCCCAGGAGCCCAGGAGCTCAGATGGGTCCAGCAGGGTTCCTGGCGGGGGCTCTGCTCTGGGAATTGCAAGCCAGCACCTCACCTGGGCTCCCTGGGCGGGGTTAGCTTCCGCGGGGAGGCGGGGGAGAGTCTCCCCAGGCAGGGTTAGCTGCCACGGTGGGGGTCTCCCTGGGCTGGGTTAGCTTCTGTGCGGAGGGGGGGGGCGGGCGTTCCTCCCCGGGTGGGGTTAGCTGCAGAGGGGGGGTAGCTGCTGGGGTGGGGGGGCTCCCCGGGCAGGGGGAGTGGTGGGCTCCCTGGGTGGGGGGCTGGGTTAGCTGGGTGGGGGGGGGCGCAAGGTGGAAGTTTCGCCTGGGCCCTGGGTCCAGGCCTGTCAGGTTGTGGTTTGCTCTGCCCGCTCCCCACCATGCTCTAGTGCTCGGTGCTAGCAGGGCTGCAGGCCCCGGGACGGCCCCACCAGCCGGCACCTGGCAGTGGAAATTTCCACCCCGGGTTCACGCTCTCCCATGTGATCCATGGAAAGTCTGCTGATCTGAGTAGAAGGTTTCAGCTAATTATCCCCAGGGCTGCCGGGCCCCGCACCTGAGCCGCTCCAGCAGCGGAGCAGCGGGGCTGGCAGCCGGCCAGCGCGTTATCGGCAAAGCACTGACCTACATTCCCTCGCCCGCACGGCTGGGCTGCTGAGAGCGCCTGCGCGGCTGGGTGAGATTGACTCCTGTCCCCAGGCCTCCCTGTGCCAGAGCCACGCGTCCCGGCTCCTGCTCGGCCCTGCCTGCCTGGGTGCCCCCCTGTGTGTCCAGGGCCCCTCCCAACACCCCCCATCCCATGCCCCCTGTGCATCCAGGCCCCTACCCACCAGCACTCTGTGCATCCAGGCCCCCCATTTGTCCAGGCCCCTGCCCTAGGTCCCAGACGCTAGCAGGTAAAGGGCTCCTGGCTGCCTGAGAGCAGGCTGGAGGCCGGGTCGCATTGGGGCTCCAAGGGCAGCTCCAGGACTGCTTGTCACCCCACCTGTCACCCTGGAGCTGGTTGGGGGCGCGAGGGGAAGCCCTGGCAGGGCTGCCGGAGGCCCGGCTGCTTTCACCCTGTCCCCGGAGGCCTGGCTGCTAGACCGACGCTTTCCCCACCCCCCACCTGCGTTAAACTTCCCCGAGATCCCGTGACGCTGTGTCTCTGACCCGACCCGCTGGGAATCGGGCCCCATCACTCTGGGTGCTGCAGGGGGGGCCCCCAGCCTCTTTGGACAGGGCTATGGGAGCTGGTGTCAGGCAGGGACTTTCCCTCCCCACTGCCTTACCCAGGACACTTCCCCGGGCGTCGGTTCTCAGTCCAGCGCAGCCCAGTGGCTGGATGCCAGGCCCGGGAGCCAGGACTCCTAGCGCTCTCCTCGGCTGTCACTCACTCACTTACTGCAAGCTCTGGAGGGAGTCGGGTCCCGTCTCTGCGGGCCGCAGCTGGCCCACCCCTAGGGATGCTGTGTGGGGAGCACGGAGTCCCCTCTTCACCCTCTCGCCCTCGCCCTCCCCAGCATCGTCTTCTGGTTTGGGGACCTCAACTTCCGCATCGAGAGCCTGGACATCCGCTTCGTGAAGTACGCCATCGACAACCGTATCTTGAGCCAGCTGTGGGAGAAGGACCAGGTGAGCGGCCGGCCGGGCGGGTGCGTCGCTTACGTCCTGTGCGGGCTCGGCTCCGAGATAACGCTCGGCTTGGCGGTGCTGAATGGGGGCCGGCAGATACTCTCCTGCAGCCCCACGTACTGAGGGTGACGTGGGGCCAAGGAGCCAGCGCCTCCCTGGGGCAGATATGCAAATCCAATCCCATCTGCCCCCAGCCGGGGGGCGGGGAGAGCTGCTCCCCTGGGGAATGAAAATCCCCAGCTGGGGCCCGCAGCTCCTTTGGGGAGGGGGAGGGCAAGAGGCTACCCATGCTGCTTCCTCCTAACCCGGCTGCTGCCAGCCCAGAGCCCGTGGGGCATGAAGGGCAGGCGTGCCCCTGGGCCTGGGGGCAGGTTCCCTGCAGCACCAGCTGCCTCCGTGACCCCGTCGCAGAGCCCCCCGGAGCGGGGCAGGGCTGCTCCCCTGCCTACTGCCCTGCAGCGATGCGGCCACCCTGCGTTCTTGCTCCATGTACAAGGTAAAATCCAAGTGCGGAATCCCCCTTAGGAAGAGATTGAGGGGGGCCGGGAGGGGGGCCGGGGTTCGGAAGAGGGCTGGGTTCTGGGGCTCAGGAAAGCGATGTGCAAAGTGCCTCGTTCCTCCCTCTCCATCCGCTCCCTGGGGTGTGGGTCAGAGCTACTTCAATCCCGTCCCGTTCGCCCTGCAGGGCCAGTTGGGTGCGGGGGAGCTGGGGCCCAGCCTGGCTTGTGCATCGCCAACCGAATTGCTCCCTGCGTTCCCAGTGCACGATCTCTCTTGTTGATGCACAAGCCCAGCATGACGTGGGGCCCTGGGGGAGAGAGGGGACTGGGCAGGGGCCTGGGGGAGAGAGGGGACTGGGCAGGGGCCTGGGGGAGAGGAGGGGACTGGGCGGGGGGCCCTGGGGGAGAGAGGGGTCCGGGGGCGGCCCTGGGGGAGCGTGGGGGCTAGGTGGGGGGCCCTGAGGCAGCGGGGGGGCCGGGCAGGGAGCCCCAGGGGAGTGTGGGGGCCAGGCGGGGGGGGGACGCATCTCTGTACTGATGGGCTCTGAGGTTGATTCGAGACTGTAATCTCTGGGCACGCACGGAGCTGCACTAAGGTTGGGCAGAGAGCACAGGAGCCGCCTGGCACTCCTAGAGGCTTGTGCTTGGGGCAAAGTCCTCCCAGCCTGGCCTGTGTTGCCGGGAGTTGTGGGGACATATTTGCATGAGGATCCGGATCTTCCCGCCTGCACCCGTGCTCTCAGCTGGGGCTCCAAGGGCAGGAACAGGTTGGCTGAGCTCCCCAAGCCTGAGTCTGCAGCCTGCCCTCCCCTGCGCTCCAGGGAACAGCCACTGGGGCTCCCCAGGGCAGGCATTAATGGCAGGCTCAGCTCAGTCTCTGGGGCTGCCCCCAAAAGAGGATGAAGGGGGGAGGGGAATCACCAGGGTCATGGGCTCCCCGATCCCCATCCACTCAAGCCCAGAGCCCCACTCCAGCCACCCCCTGACTCCAAGCCCCTCCCCAGGGTCAGCAGCCATGTTCCCGTCCTTGGAGGGGGTCAGGAGCTGGGGGGGCGGGGCTGGAAGGGAGGCCTGTGTGAATTGCACTGCCAATGGCTGTCTGTTCCCCTTGATCCCCTCCCCCAGCTGAACATCGCCAAGGGCACCTGGCCCATCCTGAGCGGCTTCCAGGAGGGGCTCCTCAACTTCCCGCCCACTTTCAAGTTCGACGTGGGCACCAACCAGTATGACACCAGGTAGGGGTGTGGCGCAAGCGACTTGCCTGCCACGGGGAGGGAGAGGCAGAGGAGAGGACTGGGGGGCCTAGCAGTGAGAGCGGGCACTGGGTGTCTTGAACTCTGGAATGGGGGTACCACTCTCCTCACTGCAGGATACTGGCACTTGGCTGGGGGACACAATACAAGCAGGGAGTGTTACTGAAGCAGTTTCTGCATGGGGGCTGGGGACGGGGCTCCAGGATGGGGGGCATAGGGCAGGCACACCATTGTGGGGAGGATATGGCAGGATACATCAGCATGGGGGCATAGGGATGGGCAGAGGATACAGGCGGCCATGTAGGCACGGGGGGCATAGGGATGGGCAGAGGATACAGGCGGCCATGTAGGCACGGGGGGCATAGGGATGGGCAGAGGATACAGGCGGCCATGTAGGCGCGGGGGGCATAGGGATGGGAAGAGGATATGGCGGCCGTGTCGGCGTGGGGGGCAGTAGGGATGGGCGGAGGATAGTGGTGGCCGTGTCGGCGCGGGGGGCAGTGGAGACAGGTGGAGCGTACGAGGCGGCCGTGTTGGCTGGGGGGCATGGAGACAGGTGGAGCGTACGGGCGGCCGTGTTGGTGCGGGGGGCATGGAGACAGGTGGAGCGTATGGGCGCGGGGGGCATAGGGACAGGCGGAGGGGATGGGCGGCCGTGTCGGCGCTTTAGGCATAGGGACAGGTGGAAGGTATGGGTGGCCGTGTTGGCGTGGGGGCCATGGAGACAGGTGGAGCGTACGGGTGCGGGGGTATAGGGACAGGCGGAGGGGACGGGCAGCCGTGTCAGCGCGGGGGGCGGAGGGGACGGGTGGAGGGGACGGGCGGCCGTGTCGACGTGGGGGGCATGGAGCTTGTCATGGGGGCGGCTGCAGTCACTGTGTGCTGGGGAAGCCCTGCAGTTGCACCAGGGAGCATCCCCAAGTTGTGCTCCGTTCCCCTCCCCCAGGGCCTGCGCTGGGGAGGGGGGCGGCTTGCAGGGAGACCCCTTTGCCCTGTGCCAACTGAACGGTGCCCACCTGTGCCACACAGTGCCAAGAAGCGGAAACCAGCCTGGACCGACCGCATCCTCTGGAAGATCAAGTCCTGCGGTGCCCCGCACAACCCCAGCGGCCGGAGGCCCAGCAGGACCGGCCTGGCCGTGACCCAGCTCTGCTACTGCAGCCACATGGAGTACGTGGTGAGCGACCACAAGCCTGTGGCTGCCATCTTCGCCGTGCAGGTGAGTCTGTCGCCTCCTCTGGAGCTCCCCAGCAGGGCTGGCCGGCTCTCCCCAGCCCTAGTCTGGGTCTGCTGGAGCGGCTCTGGGACGGCCCTGAGGGTCCAGCCCACCCGACGGAGGCGCTTGGCGGCGTTGGCAGAGCTTCCCCTTCAGGGGTGCCGCTGCCCCACTCACGCCCTGTGCTTCTCCCTGGCAGTTTGCCTCCAAGACCGACAAGCCCTTGGTTGAGATTCAAGTGGCCGATGAGTGGTCCAGACCTGAGCAAGCCATTGTCCGATACAAGATGGCCACCGTCTTCCACAGGAGCTCCTGGGACTGGATAGGTCTCTACCGGGTAAGGGGCTGCACTGCGGGTGGGGGCAGGTGGGCTGAGTGCTGGAGGGGCAGGGTGTGGGGCCCACCTGCGGGTGCTCCTGGCCCCTCTGCTGGGTCCTTCCCTGGCTGCTGCATAGGGGTGTGCAGGGGGAGAGGGGTGGCTGGGGGTGTGAGGGGGAGCAGGGCCAGGTGGCTAGGGAATGGCAAGAAGGCAGGTGTCTCCTGCCCTTGGAGGTGGAGATGGAGGGTGCGGGCTCCACGGGGCTCCTCCCTCCCTCCCCAGCCCCCAGAGTCCCACACCCCAAAAGAGCTGTGCCCCCTCCCCCGGCAGTAGCTCCCACCCCCTGCGTCTGTGCACTCAGCAGGTGAATGGGGGGCGCTGTGGGGCTAGGTGCCTGTTACGGGGTACCCTCCTGAGGGGCAGCGCTGTCCTGCGGGAGCACCGGCTTTGCCACTCGGAGCCAGGCTGTCCTGCCTCTCTAAGCGGCCACTGCCTGCTGCCCCTTCCCCTCCTGATGCGCCTGCCCAATGGGGCGAGCTGCCCCTGGCCTGAAGCAGGGGAGCCGACCCCCCTGGTGCTGGCATCCCTGGCTACAGTGCCGCCCGGCGACCAGCCGCCGTGTGTGCTGGGGCCCTGTGAGCATGGACCCCAGGGGAGCGCCAGCGGGCCGCAGGTGTCCTTGGCACCGTGCAGCCGGCTCACAGGGTGAGCCTGCACCTCGCCCGGGTGTCTCCTTACAGCCTCGGGCGGGCCTCGGGCGCAGGAGCGGGGCAATGTGACTTTCAGCTCCCCCTGGGCCGAGCTGGGGCTGCGGGGGAGGGCTGTGCTGCGAACCTGATCCCCTGGCAGAGAGACTCCAGCAGCCTGCAGGGATCGCCTGCCCCCAGCCAGCCACCGTGTGGGACGCAGGCGTCGCCCTGCAACCCACGGCAGGATCTCTGCTTCCCACGCTGGGGCCAGGCTCTGCTGTCCAGGCCCCGGCTTCCTAGGCTCACTGGGCCAGGTCCCCCTTGGGGTAACTCCCTTGGCTTCAGTGTGTTCACCCCAGGGAGGAGTCTGGCCCCTCTCCCTAGCAGGGGCCGTCCCTCTTCTCCTGTTCACCCCTGGTGGGGCAGCAGGGACTGCCCCCTTGACCCTGCTGCTGACTGGATTCCCCAGGGGCTCAGGGGTCCCCTGGGTTACAGCCGCCTGCTGCCGCGTGCCAAGGCCCTGCCCTGGGTGCCGCTGCGCTGGGTCCGTGCAGCCGAGGGAGACGGGGAGGCTGGGGCAGAGCCTGCTCTTCGCTAACAGCTCCAACCCAGGGCCCTGCTGCTACGGCAGGAGCATGGCTGGAAGTGATGGAGCGGACGTGTCTCCCGCTCCCAACCCCCGACGGGCGAGCCCAGGCCCCGCTAGCGCTCGGGGCTGGCCAGGGGCCAGCGTCTCCTCTGATTCGGGTGCCTCGGTTCCTGGATGCCCAGCCGGGGACTGTGACTGGGGGATGGGGGCGATGGCCTGCGGCTCCGCCGGCTTGTGCACAAAGGGGAGTCTCACCATGCGTTGTGATTGGGAGCCCCGGGGCCGGGGAGGAGAGCACCTCGCAGCTCAGAGCCCGCAAGGCGCATCGAGGGCAAACCCTGGGGGTTCAGAAAGCTCAGGACTTTGGGGCTGTGGCTGGTGGCGGGGGGGGCCAAGCCTAGGCAGCGAGTGCTGCAGGTGCTCAGCACCTCTGAAAATTTGGCCGCGTGTCTTAAATGGAGCCCCCAGATCAGGCTGGGTTGTTGGCTGAGGGTTGGCTGGGAGCTGAGGGTTGGCTCTGGGGCTATGACCAGGCTGAGAGCTGAGGGTTGGCTCTGGGGGTATGGCCAGGCCGGGTCGGGGTTGGCTCTGGGGGTATGACCAGGCCAGGTCAGGGTTGGCTCTGGGGGTATGACCAGGCCAGGTCAGGGTTGGCTCTGGGGGTATGACCAGGCTGGGAGCTGAGGGTTGGCTCTGGGGGTATGGCCAGGTCGGGGTAGGCTCTGGGGGTATGACCAGGCCGGGTTGGGGTTGGCCCTGGGGGTATGACCAGGCTGAGAGCTGAGGGTTGGCTCTGGGGGTATGACCAGGCCGGGTCGCGGTAGGCTCTGGGGTTAGGGGTCAGAATCAAGCACCCTGGGGTTAGAGGTCAGTGATTAGAGTTGGGCATGGTCTGGTGATAGGGTTGGGGTCAGTGTGGCTGGGTTAGGGGTCAGGGTGGGGTCAGTGTTAGGTGCACGCTGGGGGGGGTTGGTTGTGCAGGTCGGTGTTACAGGGGTAGGGGCGGGGTTAGGAGTCGGTGTGAGGCACGCTGGTGCGGGTTGGGTTGTGCAGGTCGGTGTTACAGGGGTGTGGGCGGGGTTAGGAGTCGGTGTGAGGCACGCTGGGGGGGGTTGGGTTGTGCAGGTCGGTGTTACAG